ATGGTTTTTATTTTAATGGAACAAAAATCCATGTATCTTTCAATACTTATTAGAAAAGCTCCTTTTTTGCAGTAGATGATGATAAATAGAGATACCCCAAATTATGGATGTAAAGCTAATAAAAACTGGTAAAGTGCTCAATCTAAATGGGACATTTATACCACACTTCCTTTCCCCAGTGATCAAGATGCAATAGAAGACCATAAGAGTCAGAGTGGATTATTAACAGAAAACACTACTTTATATACACATAGCACATCTCACACCAAACTGACACCATTTGGAAATGTCTAGAGCAGACTGTATAAGATCAAGCCAGCCAAAATTTCAGCATGGAAGAGTTTGGGGCTCCTGGAGTCCAGTCTTTAATTAAATAGATATTGGCAGCTGAGGGACACTGTCTGTGGAGTGGCTGGTGACAGGCAATTTGTTAATGTGACTTCAAAGAGTCAGTCTATGCTTCAGTAGATACTCCCACTTCCCTATACGTACAGTCACCACTACACTGATTCAGTGAGAACAGGAGAAAGAAGAGAGAGAGAGAATATGTGAAGTTGGAAATAAATTATTATTAGGTATTCAATTAGTGTGAATAATCTCTGTAATATATTATTGATTTCAGTTTGCAAGTGCTACAATTTTGCTCATCTGTTCATCAAAAATGTTGGCTTATAATATTTTCCATGTTGTATATCTGTCTGGTAAGGTTACTAGTATAACGCTGTCTTCAAAAAGGGAATTTTAAAATATTTCTTCCTTTCCTCATTTTTTAAATGTCTTGAAAGATAGTCATAAGTATGTTAGCTCTTTTTTGGAGGCTTATTGAGATTCTGTGCTGAGTCTTTCTGGCCCTGGGATTTCTTTGTTAACTTTTTAAATTTTCAATTACTGCTTCTATCTCTTTGGATGTTATAGATCTATTTGGGGTATTTATTCTCTCTTGCTTTAACTCTTTTTGGTAATAAATATGGACCATTGGCTTTATAGGCCACATTTCCTAAAAGGGAACCTACTGCTATTATCCTGACAAATGCCACAGTGCTAAACTAACTCTTGATGGCCTATGTCTACAGCCATAAACTAATGTTCTCAGGAGAGAAGCTTCTACTTGCAATACATGGTGATTAACACATAGACCCTCAACTGGCCAAGGTGTAAAGAATAAGAGACTAAGAAATGCTCAGCCTTAATGAGACATCCATACCACTCCCACTCCTCTTAAAGATTACGGATCATTGTTGAAGAAATGGAGGAGTCCAAGCACTAGAGACAATACATTAACACAAGGAAACTGTTTTCTGGACATTAGCAGGATATTTGCACATATAAGCTCTCAGTGGTCACAAAAGCATGTGCAAATATATTCAAACTCAAGCCAGACAGAAATCCATCATGGAAAAAGATGTTTGGTATGAAATTGCCCCTCATAGTTGAGGAGTCGTTGACAGCTGATAACTGATGACAGAGGGAGAGGGAGTTTCTCTAACAGTGTAGTTCCTGAGAAGCCAGTGTACCAGCATAGAAGACAGTACATGCAAAAATATTTGAGTAGTACAAATTGATCCTAACTAGTGTATTGGTTAGATTTTAAAAACTTGTCAAAAATCAAGACATATCAGTGAAGAAGGAATACTAACTGGAAAAAATGCATTCATGAGATTCGTCTGTAGATAAGACTTATGACACTCTCTTGATTAATATTGATATGAGAAAATCCAGAAAATTCTGTGTTGTGCTAACCCTAGGCATGTGGTAAGAAATCAAGCCAAACAGGTCAGAAGGAGCAAGTCAGGAAGCAGTTTTCACCCCGAGTCTTCTGCTGTTCCTGACTCCGGGTTCCCACATAAAGTGAGTTCCTGGTTTTGCTTCTATCATTGATATAATGTGACCTGAACTGTAACTGAAATAAAACTCTTTAACTCCATATTACTTTTGGTCATGGTGTTTTTCTACAGCAAAAAAATATTGTTTGATTTTTAGATAAAGGACACCAACTTGATTGAGTAGGGAAGGGCAATGGATCTGGGGAGAACTGGGGGTGAATATGATCAAACTACTTTGTACAAAAATCTCACAGAACTAATAAAATATATTTGAAATCATTTACATGTGTACATTTATAATCAAATACACATGCATGATAAGTTTACTGAGCATTATATGACTTATTTGTAGAGATATAAGTACATATTTGATGAAATATACTTTAAAATTCATGTGTGCATACATTTATAAAGGTGTGCAATATTTTATAAATATATGTATGTACATAAGTTTCTGAGTGCATTCATATTTATAGCTGGTCTATACTTATATATGTATGCCATCTATGTTAAACATTAATACATACATCTGTGTATTAAAAGAATTGACTCTACATAGATACACATACACTTAAATATATATCATGTTTCCTAAAGTTTCATAACTTCCTTTATTTCTCCCTGAAGCTTACCTCTCATCATTCCTCAGAATCATTTCTCCAAGTAGCTACTGCCAATTACAGGAGTGTTTTGAACTGACTACTCTGTTTCGTGTCTTCAAGATAGAGTTGCTCTGTCAGCCTGGAAAACTACTGTGCTCCTTTGCTTAACTGGACCAACTGATCGTTTTGCTTCAAGGTTATTCCTTGAAACTATGGGAAGTTCCCATTCTTTCATGGACTGTTTCATCTGGACTTAAAGTAACTTGCTTGTGCTTCTGCACTTTCCTCTCCTTACTATGCTGTGTATAGGTTCACCATTAAAAATACATTCATCATAGTTTTTCATTCAGCACTCAGTACATGACAGGGGCGGATCAGGTTTTGTTTTGTTTCTTCCCTAGGCGAGGCGAGTCTTGCTAGGACTTGAGTAATAGCAATCACAGTCACTGAGCGAAACAGAGATTCCATTCGTGGGTTGATATACCAGCCCCTTAGGAATTTCCCTGGAAAAGAGACCTAAGTATCACTCAGGCTTGTGGAATCATGGGGCTGGACTTTCAGTGTAGGAGAGGAAAAGTTGGATGTCAGTTTACCTGATCTCCGTCTAACTCTGGCATGCTTGCTGACTTTAGTAAAACTGCTGGAGCATTACCAAAATCTCAGGTGACTCAACTCATGCATTCATAGGGAAAACAGAAAGCTGATTTGGGATCGTCAGGCTCAGGTGAGTAAGGGGATTTAATAATATTTTAGGCTTTGGTTCTATTGTCACAGATCATTTGTCTACTGTTTCTACTTCCTTGTGTCTCTTGGGAGGAATATTCTCCCACTATAAACAAATTTCAAAGACTTAGTAAGGAGTATATTTAAGGATTAGTAAATCTTTGTTGTTAAGAAGGATGACAACAATGAGGACCCTAAGAGAGACATACACAGATCTAATCTGCATGGGAAGTAGAAATCGACAAGATCTCCTGAGTAAATTGGGAGCATGGGGACTTTAGGAGAGGGTTGTAGGGGAGAAGAGAGGCAGGGAGGGGAGCAAAGAAAATATAGAGCCCAATATAAATCAATAAAAAAATAAATAAAATATCCTACTGGAAAAAGAGGATGAGGAGTTAGTGCCTTCTAGGGAAGAAAACTCCCAAGTTTTCTTTATGGATCAGCTAAATATAATTCTGTAACATTCAATCTTAGTGGCTCCTGAGATCAGGTTCTGAAATGTCATTTGTCGGCGCTGAAGAAAGTATATTCCTAAGACTATGATTTCTCAGCAACATAAAGTGAGACTTGTGCCCATCCCATATTCTTCTCAACCAGAATAACTATTTGATTTATAATAAACAAAGTCAGAAAAGCATAGAATATGAGATGTCCCTATTAAATTTTACATTGTGTTTAAAAACTCAATTTTTAAAATAGACTAGCACAAAAATTACTTCATATTCTCAGTCATACGTGGAAATTTTAAAGGTTAATTTCCTAGAAATAGCTACATAAATAAGACTGAAGCAGTGGAATTAGTGGGCATGTTAACATAAAGGGGGGAATTTTCTAAAGGTTCCACACCTATATAAGGAACTACAGGCAACTGATGACACTTAGGAGATGGAGAGTTAGACTTCCCCAGGAATGAGACCCGTTATTGGTTTTCCAAAGTAGAGTGACAGTCAGTCTTGAAATCACACACTCAAACCTTAAAAAAATGACTCAATATGCGTTGTGTGTGTATACACATATATAACACACATATATGTGTGCATACGTATGTATACATTCACATATGTATATTCATGTGTACATATGTGTGTATGCATGTGTAACAGTAGAAATAGAGGCTGTTGGTAGAGAGCGATGATGTGAGAGAAGCTGGAGGGAGAGGCAGGGATAGTACTATAATTCTATTTCTAATATAAAATATTTTTATTAAGTTGATCTCAAAGCAGAGAACAGAATCATTGTTATTAAACTCTGGAAAGGGGAAGGGGATAGGGAAGTGAGAGACACATGCTCTTTTAAAATGCATGAATATACAATTATCTAGGAGAAATAGTTCTAGCGGGGCAACTGTGATTAGCTGCACAGGACTAGGGCCACCATTTGACACTGTGGAAAGGAAGAAACAGGGAGAAACTCACAAGACTCATCCCACTCTGAGGCTTCATAGGAAGCTAATAATTGCTGGGAAAAGGACGGTACACTTTTTCAGTGGTGTAGCCACTGGTGAGCCATGTTCCTGTAAACAAACCTTTACCATGGTCCTGGAACATATCCTAATTCAACTCAAATTATAATAAAAAAATTAAAAGATGTGATATTATAAGGGAAAATAGTCGGAAAGAGAAAAGTTAGTGGGACTCGGAGGGCCCATGAGAGTGCAAGGCAGTGAATACAAAGTGTATATATATATATTCTTAAAATAAGATACTTAGTATTTTGGCCTTGATCTAGCAGCCAAATGTGATAGATATTTATGTTTATCACACACACATCAAGCAAGATAGTAGAATTATAGAGAAATTGGAAATTGAATGGAAAGTTATCCTTTCATCTAATATGTTTTGTCACAGGTGTAATGGGAGCTACAAGAGTACTTGCTGTTGCACACTGTGTTGTCTTGTACCTCCTACAGACAGTGGCGCTGAGTTCAGGTATGACTCTCTCACTTGCCCTTATGAGCGTCAGCAATGTCAAGCATGCCAAAAAAAAAAAAAAAATCAAGGCGTGATACAAAGACAGAGCATTTAAATCATTATTCTTAAAGACAGAATGTAGCAATTAAGTGAAGACAGTTGCAAGAGTATCCAGCTTAGAGGAACAAGTAATTATGTCCAATCAGTACATATTCTTTACTTGGTGTTGCAAGGAGGCGCTGCTTGTTCAGCCATCCAGCTAGCTTAGCCCCGAAGTAGCCACACAGAAACTGTATTAAATCACTGCTTGGACCATTAGCTCTAGCTTCGTATTGGCTAACTCCTACATCTTTATTTACCCCATTTCTACCAATCTGTATATCACCATGAGTTCGTGGCCTACCAGAAAAGTTTCAGGACTTCTACCTCTGGCTGTGGTCCATGGCGTCTCTCTGACTCTCCTTTCTTCCTCCCAGAATTCAGTTCTGTCTTCTCTGCCTACCTAAGTTCCCCTCTATCATGCCAAGGCAGTTTCTTCATTCATTAACCCATACAAGCAACACACAGAGGGTACGCCCACATCAACTTGGGTTTGTTTCAACTTCCAGGAAGAAAGTACAATGGTAGCGATTGAATACTTGTCTTGAGGACTCAATATTCATACTGAAAGCACAAGACTTATTGATAAAAGAGATACATATGAAAATCCATCCAAGCTAAGAATAGAGTAGGGGAGGAAGATGAGGGAAGATGAAGCAAGCTAGGGAAATGAGAATTTGAATTTGTAGGGACATCTGTGCAAAGCAGAACTAAATACAGATTACTTGAAAACATTACAAAAAGACTTAGAAAATGAATTATATAAAAGATGTAAAATATTACAGCAAAAAGCTGATTTCCAATGATAAATTTTCACTGATGCACATTTATTTGGGGTAGAACTGAATTAGACTCTTTTTTGGTACCAGAAGCATTGTCTGATGACAAGAGATATCCAGTTGTCTCTTTGTCTCCTCCATTATTGGGTGAATTCATTTAGCTTACCTTCCTATATGCATGAAGCAACTTTAGTAATCTACTGTACTGGGTTTCCATATGGCCTCTGAAATGGGCCTGTTTTGGCTGTCCCTCCCTGTATTACACCCTTTTTATTCCTCTTCCCATTTGATCTTCCTATTGCATGCCTGTCCATTTCCAGATACATATTTTATTTTCTCTTCTGAAGGATGTCCATCCCTCCTGACTCCTTCCTTACTTTGTACCTAACCTCTCTGTGTGGTTATATAGATTATAGTTTTCTCATTGAAGACTTAAATCTAACATCCACATGTAAGTCAATACATACTATATTAGTCTTTCTTGAACTAGATTACTTCACTCAAAATGTTTTGTCATAGCTTCATCCATTTACCTGTGAACTTCATTTCACATTTTAAATGGATGAATAATAATTTCACTAAGTAAATGTACATTTTTAATCCATTAATGCACTGAAAAACATCTAGGCCATTTGCAATTTTTGAGTATTAGGAAAAGAAGTGCAATTAATATCATTGAACAAGTGTCTCTGTATTAGGATAAAGCATCCTTTGGGTCTATATTCAAGAGTATAATAGTTAGATCTTTGGGTAGACCTATTCCCAGTTTCCTGAGAAATGGCCACATGAATTTCTTTTGTGACGGTACAACTTTAAACTCTCATTAGCAATGGATGTTTAAGCCTCTTACTTCATATCATCACCAGTACAAGCCATCATTTCTTTTATTGACAATGGTAAATAAAGGGTATAAAAAGAAATCTCAATGTATTTTTGGTTTGCATTTCCCTGGTGGCTAAAGATGGTGAACAATTCTTTAAGTGTTTCACAGCTATTTGCGTGTTTCCCTTGAGAATTTTCTGTCTAGATCTTAACCCCATTTTTAGTTGGCTTATTTGTTTTCTTGATGCCTAGATTTTTAAATTCTTTATATATTTTAGATATTAACCCTCTATCAAATGTGTAGTTGGTAAGAAATCCTTGTCCATGTCATACTGCCCTTTTCTGTACACGGCTTTTCAGTTTCATTAGGTCCCATTTATTATATGTTGTTCTAGGTTCCTGTGCTAATGGTCTTCTGTTCAGAAAGTCTTCTGTGCTAATGAGTTCAAGATAGTCCTCACTTTCTCTTCTATCAGATTCAATGTATCTGGTTAATATACTTGATACATTTAGAGTTAAGTTTTGTGCTGAGTGATAAGAATGGATCTATTTTCATTTTTTATGTGCAGTCATACGGTTTGACCAGTACCATTTGTTAAAGATGATGTCTTTTTCCAGTGTGTATTTATGGCTTATTTTTCATAAAAATAGGTATGTGAACTACTTATGTCTTGATCTCCAATTTAATTCTAGTGATAAATGTGTTGGTTTTGATTCAATATAATGTTGTTTTTTTTTACTATATCTCTGTAGTACAATTGAGAGAGAGTGGTGACATTTTATGTCACCACATTTCCCACTTTTTTCTTTTCAGAACAAGATCCCTGAATCTAATATCATTTGTTCATCTTTGTTTCTTTATCATTATCAATAACAACTTGTAACCTATTCCCTAAACGATGACAAAGTTCCATGAACCAGATTTTGGGAAATGTGAACATAGTTTTCTGAACTACTTGCTGCTGATTGGGGACAGTAGTAATCTTTGAAGGACCCTGAGAAAATTCAATGTTATTGTTGTGGGAATTTATTCAGCCAATAGTTTTGGGCTACCTGCCCTAGGGCATGGCTTCTGGCTGTGAACTTGATCTCTTATAAGGAAGAGGAGGGGTATCTGGTTCTTGTTTGACGTGAGGGGAAGCCAAAGTGTCAGAGAGGCAGCATGAGATAAGTAGCCATTTCGGCCTTTATCTATATTGTGTTAATTTATTTTTTAATAAACCAGATTGTATTACCTCTGTGATTTCATGCTTCAGAAGATGGCCAAATACTGACTGGAGAATTCTGTTAGGTTACATCATCCCAGCCAGCAGCCTTGAGCCTTTCTGGATATGAAACTCAGGGAAATTGCAATGGAGGCACTCTGAAATTTTGGATCATCTGGGCCATCTGCTCCCATCAGAGATTTTTTCAAGGGGTCTTCCTCAATCACTCTTCATTTTCCTTAACCCAGAATGAATCCACAGCCTCTCATTTTCTATTGAAATAAAAATAAAACTTCTGCCTCAAATTAGCACATCTTTCGATTTAAATTTTGAAGTCAAGACACTTTTTAAATATATAGGCTGAATTAATCCAGCAACATTTATAATCAAATGTCTCTTAGCAGCTGTTGTTGTGACCTCAGGAGTCAAATAATTCAAAAACAACACAGTAACATACAACATACAGGCTCTCTGTGTATTTTCTATCTTTATGTGGCTAGTTACAATTTTTATTACTCTGTTTCTTTTTTTAAGGACTTTATTCTTTTTATTTTCTCTCCCAAGCCTACATATATTTTTAACACACTGTAATCCATTTAGAGTTCTTTTTTAAAAATCTGTCTTTAGTGCATATCTCTATCTTTTGCTGACCACATGAGTCTTTAAGTTGCAAAGCAGCAGCTTTTGTGACTGGCTTCGTCCCACTTCTTTATTCCAAGATTGCCTAGTTTCATGGCAGAGGTACCAGCTAAAGCTCTATCACCCCAACTTTGGGGAGTTTCTGAGTTCATGCTGCCACTGAGTAGGATGCGGGCCACTGCTTAAAAACACAATTTAGTAGAACCTCTTAAAAGAGCTGCCTGCTTTGCCACTAGCACCGAACCAGAAAGCCATCTCTTAAAGGAGCTGTGCCTCTGTTCACAGCCAGTGAACAGAGTTCACTGAAGAAAAGACAGTTACCAAGAAGCCATGCTTGACTCAATTCTTGTGTGTTTAAAATCCTTCTTAAAGCTTTTTTGGGCTTTATGTGGAAGTTTCGGCCCCCACATTGAAATACCATATGTGGCACAATCCTAATTAGTCTTAATATTAAAAACCCAGAGTCAGTTAGGGGGTGAAAGCTGAAAAACAACAGAAGTGGAGCAGTCAGCCATTAGTTCTTACTTCTATAAAATACTCAGATCAAATGGGATATTATATTTCTACAAGTCCTGACTGAATGCCCCGAGTTCCTGTCTCCTACCTTATAGTCCTCTCTCTGTCCCATCTCCAATATTCCTTTTGCAGAGTACTTGTATTAGATTTTTCCCAAAGGGGAGATTATTTATCTGATCTCAGGTTCTTGGCCACGTTAGGAGTGTCAAGTACGGTTTCTACATCATGAAAGAGGCTTTAAATCCCATCAAAATTGGTTGGTTACTTCCTTAACATTTCTGTCACTATTGTACCAGTTCTTTCATTAATTTATAATATTTCATTTTATGACTGTACATAGATGATTTATTCACTTACTTATGGAAGGAAATTTGATTGGTTCCATTTTTTAGTAACTGAGAATAAAGAAGTTATTAAAATTTTGTAGAAATTTCAATATATATGTACTTTAAAACAATTTGGACTATTGTAGATTCAAGACTCTGGCAAGAAAGTACACTAAGCCTACATCAAGCAATGTTAGAGATGCCAAACTGTCTTCCAGAGTGTCTGAATCATTCTGCATTGCTATCAACAACAACAAAAAATAAACCAGTTATATTGTCTTCATCTTTTGTGATCATTTTATGTTGTCAATGTTTTAGGTTTAAATTATTTTAATAATTGTTGAGGTTTCTTATTTTGTTTTACAACATTCTAACGACACAATGTCGAGATATTTTTCATTTTTATTTGCTATAAAGGCTAATTTTGCTCTATTTTACTCTGCATCATGTGGAACAGTAGCTTTCAAGCTGAGTATTGCCATGAGTGACTCCATTTTACAGTGTAGCAGTTTGTTACATTCTGAGGTCACATGATGAGTCAAAATTACTGTACACATTTGTGCAAGTAAACAGTCATTAGCTCATTACCTACCCAGTATGAATCAGAACGAACAAAATAAAAAAAAACAGTTTAATCATACAAGTAAAGAAATTAACACCCATTAAGTTATCAGGGTAAATCTGGAACACCAGGGCACATGGTCATATCAAGACTATATCATAAAATGCAGTCCTGTTAATGAACAAAGCAGACTAAGGAAGATGGCAGCTCCTTCATCTGTGTCATATAGCAGGTAGATTTGACACAAAGTGGAAACAGTACCAGCCACATTCTCATCAACAAACCTTATGCATGTATCACAAAACACAGCAGCTGTAGATTGCCTACTGTCCCTGGAGCTTCAATTCAGGAAATTTCCACTATGTGATATGGCCTACTCATATTGTCATTTTCTGACCCAGTCTTCCACTTTGTCTTGATTTATCTCGAATTCAGCCTGCCTTGGAGTGGCTCAGCATCTCCAATAGCTCCTTAAAATCTTTTCCAGCCATTTACACTAATACTTTCTGGTTTAGTTTTAATTAAGTAATTAGTAATTAAATTGCCTTCAGGATAAACAAAGTGACCTTACTTGAAGTATGTGGGGATGTTTGAGAAAGAGGAGGAAAAGACAGAAGAGGGAAAAACAGAGAGAATGATTTCAACAAATGTTGTAAATATTTTTACTAACGCATACTCCTATCTTTTGATTATTCTCCTTCACAGAGAGATTCACAGTGACTGGGTTGACTAGGCCAGTCTTGGCTCCATTGGGTGGAACCCTTGAACTCAGTTGTCAGTTGTTCCCACCACAAGATGCACAGCACATGGAGATTCGCTGGTTCAGGAACCACTATACACAGCCTGTGCACCTGTACAGGGATGGTAAAGACCTGCATGGAGAAACCATCCCCAAGTATGTGGAGCGGACTGAACTGCTAAAAGATGGCATTGGAGAAGGGAAAGTGACACTCAGGATCTTTAATGTGACTGTTGATGATGATGGACCATACCGCTGTGTCTTCAAAAATGGTGAATTCTATGAAGAGCACATTACGGAGGTCAACGTTACAGGTGGGCATGAATTTCTCTGAGACTGTTCTGTACATATGATTCAAAGCCTACCTATGGTTGAGTGGTTGGGAAATTATCAGTGCTTGAATCTTATTGCATAGTTTGGTAAAATGAATTCTCTACAATTAGTTTTTTAATTGTATGACATGGAAGATCAAAAAATAAAAATTACTAGCGTTCAGAGATTGATTCTATCAGTAAGTACTTTCTTATTATGCCTACATACATTGTTAGATTTCTAACATATAATCAGATTCTTTTTAGGTTGTTTTATTATCCTTTCAAATATCTCTAACAACACTTCAGTAATTTTCCAAATGAACCAAATTTTTAAAACATGCTTCTTACTATAATGTTGGGTGAGTATGGTAGGAGTTACAGAGAAAAATATGATCAAAAATGTTGTATGAAAACGTTTGAGGTGGGTGGTCCTTGGACTTCCCACAGGGCAGGGAACCCTGATTGCTCTTTGGGCTGACGAGGGAGGGGGACTTGATTGGGGGAGGGAGAGGGAAAGGAGAGGCGGCGGTGGGAAAGAGACAGAAATCTTTAATAAATAAATAAATAAAAGAAAATGTTTAATGAAAGAGAAAATATTGTTTTGACTAACAATGCTTATTTTCATTTCTCTCCAAATTAATTCACTAAAAACTTAGCACCCGATTTATTTTTCTAAGTCTCTTTCAAAACTTTTTAACTACAATAATCCCTATCCTCAGATGCAATAATATCTGTGTGTGTAACTATATAGCGTTTATGCTACTTTCATTACTTTGAATTATTCTGAAAGAAAAGGAAAAGAAAGGAAAGGCCAGGGGGTTAATGTAAACTAAACAAATCCATAAGTGTATGCTCATATGTGTAGGATCCAGGTGATCAATCTTCATGGATATCATGAGACACCTCTGCTGTCTAGAGCAGTCACACATATAGTTCATTTCCATGTTTTGTGTTCTACTGGGACAAAAAGTTACTGATTGTCATTTTTAGTAGTTTTATGGGATAAATAACAACTGTGATAGCAAAGATCTGTAATGTTCTTGTTATTTCAGGGACATTTTACTAGACAGAGCAATTTTGGCATGTTGCTTTAAATCTCCACGCATTCTCTTTTGGAATAAACATTACACAATCTTTCCCACTTCTCCATCACCTCTTCGTTTGTTTCAGTGGCAATGGGAGCTACACTGTGTCATGCAGTTTTTGCTCCAAATAGCTTTACCTGCAAATGTTCACAAATTATAAATTATCTACTATGAAAATACATAGAGAATTATCTAGAATTCCAAAACTGTATTTATAATGAAATTCATTTCTATAATCTATTATGTTGACTCAAAATAACTAGTGACTATGATAAATGAAAAAAATTAAACTATAAATGCTATAAGGATCAAAAATCTTGATTTCTGTTCATCATAATTCAAGGATGTAGGTTGTTTCTTAGACTTAGTGAATAGCCTAAAATATGTTTTGAATAAATTAATAAACAAATGAAACAGGCCTTTCCTGAGCTGACTTAGTTTGAACACGTTATTGATTGCATATTATAGCATTTCTATCTGACTCTTCCATTTTCATGAGATTTTATGGAAACCAGCATCCTGGAGAGCATGAATATATACATATCTTTTGAAACTGGAATCAAAACCAAAAAGAGCTTTTATTTTTCTTTCCTTTCCTCTACCATTGATACCTAACAATATTGTTTTCCTCTCTTGCTGTTTAACCAGTAACAAGCTCAGACATACAAATTCTTCTGCATCCCCCAAATACCAAAGGAGTGATTTTGGAGTGTCATTCGGGGGGTTGGTTCCCACTGCCACTTATGGAATGGAGAGACAGCAAAGGAGAGGTCATTCCAGAGACATCAAAATCCCATTCACGGGATGGAAACAAATTATTCAATATGACAATGGCACTTCTTATTAACACCAACTTTCACTGGAATGTCACTTGCTACCTTCAAAACCGTCTAACTCAACAAGAAGAAAGCATAAATATTGTCCTATCAGGTAAAATCTGTATTTGTTCTTCAGTAAAAGGCATTGTTACATATACTAATGTATCGCTTCTTTCTTGACTTGGCTCCCATTGTCTTGCATTCTCTTGGCCTTACTCGTCATCTAGTTTATTGTCTCTCTCACTCTCTTTGATGTGCATATTTTCTCTATTTATATTCTAGACTACTGCAGTTTGCTCTTCTGACGCTGAGATAAAACATCTGATCATGAACAAGTTGCAGTGGGGGAAGGGTCTATTTGAATTACATTTCTACATATTAGTGCTGCATCATAGGAAGCCAGAGCAGGAGACCAAAGTGGGAATTTGGAGGCAGGAACTAAAGTACAGACCACAGAGGACACTGTTCATAAACTTGTTCTCCATGGCATTCTCAGATTTCTTTTTTACACAACAACAAAGATAGCACTACCCACCCCCAGGGGCCTGGATCCTATCACTTCAGTCATCAATCAAGAAATTGCCTCTCACGCATAGTCATAGGCTGATCAGATAGGGCAGATCCTCAATTGGGGTTTCTTTTTCTCAGACGACTCTAATTTGTGTCAAGTCAACAATACTAACTGCCGTATTGACATTGAAGGTTGCAAGGCTTGGTTCTTGAGCCCTTACTCACTTCTGACTTCCTTTTGTCTCATGACTTTAAGTACCACCAGAACTCTCACTCTTCCTACGTTATAACTCACCTTTCCTCTGCTCTCATCTGAAAATTCATAAGCCAACCCAAGAAATAATGTTAGGTCTATTTGTAAAATACACCAGAGTCTCATTGTTACTAGAGTCCCAAAATAGACATTTGACTCAAGTTCCCAGACTGTTGAGATCCCAAGGATCCGAATTTTGTCACATACCCTAAAAGAATAAAGGAAAATTTAATTTCTCTCTTGTCACACATGTGTCTAAGGATGTTCTCTCTTTGACAATATAAGCCTGAGATTATACAAATAGGAATGCAAAAAGCTCAAGTTGAAAGGTTTTGAATACTCCCTTGAATATTCTTCACACCAAGAATATTCATATCTTTAAAGTTGAAGTGGCCACTGTCCATTTTTGTAGACCTGCAATTCTTTGTCTTTTTTTTTATTGATTTCATTGAGCTATACATTTTTTTCTGCTTCCCTCCATTGCTCTCTTGTTGGGGTTTCTGTCCTGTCCAGTTCCCACAGTCATTAAGACACAAAGAAATCACACAAAATTCTACAATAGTTGTAAACTGATTGGTCCATAAGCTCAGGCTTCTTATTAACTCTTGTAATTTATATTAGCCCATTATTGTAGTATATGTTAGCCACATGGCTCAGTACCTTTTTTAGTGGGGCAGTCTCATCTTGCTCCTTCTGTGGCTAGTCAGGACTGCAAAAGAATGGGCTTCCTCCTTCCCAGAATTCTTCTGTTCTCATTGACTTGCCTCTTCTTCCTCTCTGGTTGTCCCACTATACTTCCTTCCTGGCTATTGGCCAATCAGCATTTATTTAAAATATAATTGACAGAATATAGACCATTCCCTTACACCACTCTCCCCTCCTCTTCAACCCTATCCCATCGTCCCCAGGCTCCCAATTTACTCAGGAGATCTTGCCTTTTTCTACTTCCCATGTAGATTAGATCCATGTATGTCTCTCTTAGGGTCCTCATTGTTGTCTGCAACCCTGAATCTTAAGATGAACTGAGTAGTAAGCAAGTCAGAAAAGAGTGAGTCATAGAGACAAAATAATCAGGCAAATGGGGGGATCCTCCTTCTTCATCATTTCGCACCACCTTTTCACTGCCATCTAATCCTGAATTATGGATTACAATGTAGAAAGAGTACCCTGAAGCTCTTCGGTTTCTTATCTAGTTTATGGTGGTATTTCCTGACTTTAGGGATGGGATGAATTACTTAAAATACTGATTGTGTTAAGTACCCTAAAATTGCTTCCTTTTTAGTTATCAACATTCCCTGATTTTTTCAGTTATCAATGCCCCTGTTACCTTGATGACTTCACTTCCTAATGTTCTTCTCTACCTCATTTATTCACATCTTTGTTGATGAACTCTGCCTTTAGACATTTCCTCTAGTTGTTTCTTCTTCCAGGATAATACAAACTCAAATATCTCCTTCAAGTCCATATTCAAATCTCACTTTCTTATAAGTATGACCTTGATGGCCATCCTCAAGCATATGACCTGCCTGCCTCTATGCACCTGGGGGTCATGTTTTCTCATAAATTTGACTTGTTTCTTTTCTTATTAGTCCCATTTTATGTATTGTGTAGCTGTATTATCATATTATTTCTCTATATCTGTATACTTTCCAGAAAAATCCCTTGGTGATTTTATACACCAACGCACCCAACTGTTTCAGATATTGGGTGCCACCTTGCAATTAAACAAATAAAATGCGATACTTAAAGGAATTAAATAAAATCAAAAAGATGTATTGCAAGCATGTATCAGTGCTGGTATCTATCCATGAAATTAGACATTCTTTCTAGAAGAGGTCTTTAAAAGAACTAAAGCCACTGATTTCATAAATCATATGTGTATGAAGATGGACACTTAAAAGAAATCTCACATTAGCTCAGAATTGAGAATAATAGAAGGTTATTTATTTAGGGGTAGACTTGCAAATCAATGTTCTCTGTTGGAATGGAGAACTGCAACCAAACATCATAGCCAGAAAAAAAGGCCAGATGCATGCTTTACATCAGCATAAATAGTATAAGATGTCAAGCCCAAGTTTGAGGGTAACTTAAAAGCTACTGGATATAGGATTTCCTATAGGATATATATATACTATATATCAAGCATAAATATATATAAATAATGTAAGGTAAATTGAAATATTTGTTAATATATTACACCTTCATTGAGTAACAAAATGTATATTTTATGATCTTATATGTTCTTTAAGTATTTATGATCTCTGAACAGTATGTTTTAAAGTAATTGAAATGAACATAAACTTTGGACTCTGTGTTATACTATTAGGAAATGGAAAAAGTTTAACCATTGTTCCATTTACAAATTATTTTAAAAAATCAAGTTTGATGAAAAAGGAAAAACCATAATCAAATTTAATCATGCAGGAATTCGTTACTGAGTGACTGGCAAGCCTGCTAAGTTCAATTTGGACCCTACTGGTGTAAAAGGCATGATAGTTTATTTGGATAGGAACTAATATTACATTCACAAAAGTAACAACTCAGTACACGTTTATTCCCCCTGTAAATGGAAGTTTCTGTCCCACCTAGTCCCACAGCCTTTCATTCCAAAATAAACAGACAGAGGCTTCTATTAATTATAAACTGTTTGGTATATCATAAGCTCAGGTTTATTATTAACTAGCTCTTGCAACTTAAATTAACCCATAATTCTTACCTATTTTGAGCCATGTGGCTTGGCATATTTTCTCAGTAAGGCATTCTCAATTTGTTTCCTCTATATCTGACTTGTGACTGCATCTCTGCCTTATTTTTTTCCAAAATTGTCCTAGTCTTGTCATCCCACCTATACTTCTTGCCTGGCTATAGGCCAATCAGAATTTTGATAAGCCAATACAAGTGAAAAATCTTTACAGTGTACAAGAGTATTATCCCACAATATTCCACAAATATAACACTCAAAATGCTTAAGGAGAATGCTTGATGGTCTCTAAATACCCTCATGCTAGACATAATGGCATGTTTTAGATGGTGTAAAATTTTATCTGGGAAGAAAGATGCAATATTTCATATGAATAAGAAAAGGTACATTTGCATTGACTTAGGGCATGAGATATATTCAGAAACAATAGTCTCAAATCCAATGAGTACACTGAATAGAGCATGGCACATATCAAAGTAAACAAGACATGAGGATTTCAGCATTGATTTGTACTTCCATTATAATTCTCCTTGGAAGCCAATATCTGAACACTGGGGTTGATTATGCTCCCCCTTTTCCTTTCTACTGGGGAAGCTTATGAGGCAGGATTGATGGGAAGAAATGAAAAAACTGCCCTCTATATACTTTTTCCTAAAATTCACTCACATCTGGCTAATTTTTACTCGTGATATGCTTTTTACCAAAACCAAAACCATCATAACTGCAGCTTCAAACTTTCATAATATTCCAGGGTAGTAGAATCTTAAATTGTAACAAACTTCAAATGAATCACCATTGCTAAGTTTTCTTCTGAACTCATGTTTCAGGTGAACTGTTTTCATGGAAATGTGTTTGGGTGGGAATTCTCGTTATAATATCATTTGTGATGATAATCTTCCTTGTGACTTCCTGTGTTCAGCAAGATTTCATACATGGTAAGTAGGTTTCAGTAGCATTGAAGCAATGTGGAAGTAGAGGAAGTAGCTAAAGCTATTTATTCATTGCCGCCAGAGCCTGTAGTTCTAAAACTTTTGGTTACATGATATATATAACTTTATCCACGTTTTGGTCCAACATTATTTGCTTTTGCTAGTGGAATTTTTTAAAATACTGTTTACAAAAGTTTGTGCTGCCTTTATGGTAAGCAAGCTGAAACACCATTTACTTATATTGATTGACATCCCAGTTGACTATGGAGCTCTAAAGATGAACTAGTGTATGTCATCAACTCTGCTAGAGGAAGACATTTAGTGCTAGAGTTATCGATCTTTGAGTTATCTGGACTCAAGAAAATAACTGCTTACCCATGATCTTGCAAGTAATCCCAAGTAAACTAATTGTTTCCATAATCCTTTATGTAGAAACTTAATTCTGTCATAAGTGCCCTGTTGAAGAGAATAGACTTTTGATATTTGTCTACACAGAAGTTGGGGAAGAGACTTGCAAGGCCGAAATAAAACCTAAGGTTGATCAACCTGAGGGTGATCAACCTGAGGATAAGTCATCTTGTCCTGGCCAATCTCAATGTCAATACCTTTTGTCATGTAATATGGAATGTTGAACTTCATTTCTGTAGTGACAGTTGCATGCTCACTGTGGTAAATAACAAATCATGAAAGACAGACTGAGATATCTGAGAGTAGAGCATCCTTTGGGAAGAATGCTCTTGGTATGGACATCTCTCTTTACATGGTAGCAGGTGGAATTCCTATTGAT